TGGCTAAAATATCACAGGTGGCGGCTACAGTGACACGATCAGCGGCTACAAGGACACATGCGGCAGCTACAATGACACGGACGACGACTACAGTGACACGGGCGGCAACTACAGTGACACATGGGGTGGCTACAGTGACACGCGTGACGGCTACAGTGACACGGGTGGTGTGGACAGTGACCCGATGGTGGCGACAAGAAATCATAACTTGTTGCAATAAAAGATGGTGTTACTGAAGCGATAATAATTGAGACAAAGTCACTAGAGCGATAATAACTGAGACGATGTCACTAGAGCGATAGTAACTGAAATTTGACGGGTCATGTAACTGTAACTGAAAGAGTTATGTAATTGTAACTGGTCGGGTAACTGTAACTGGGGCGATCGTAATTGGAACGGTGGTCACTGGAGCGATAGTAACTGGGACAAATTTAAAAAAAATGGTGAAATAATTTTAAGATTTAAGACTTTATATTTCCATATCCAAGTATTTATTTTTAGAAATAATATTACAATTAAAAGAACCATTAACTTTTAGAGTTCGTAATGCTTGGCAGGTGCACTGGTAGGAATCGTACACGCTGTATAGTTAACGACTTACCGAATGCAACGTACTGCAGTTGTCGACTTATGAGTAACGGGGAAAACTAAATGTTAATTAGTCATATTTTTGGTAAATATAAGAAAAGGTCACTTTTTCTGAAACCATCTCTTTTTTTTTAATATTGGGGTCAAAACCCCCGTATGTAAAATGCATCACAAACTTGTACTTGTAATATCAATATATCATATTGGCCTATTTTTCTTGCCTTAAATTAGTATCATAACATTTTTGATAACATTTACATGGTTCTAATTCATTATTATTATTTACATTTTACTAGTCAAATATTAATTTAACTACATAACTTTATACTCCGTATTTCTTAATAAAATCTAACTACTCTATGTACCATACAAGAACATCATACTTTTCAAATCACCAACAAACATGTATCTCAAAAGTAGTAAATCTCACAAATATGTATTAACCTGTTACACAAAAAATAGAATTGAATAAAATAGTTGTATGATGAGATAACAATTATTATTATAATAATAAATCAATAAGTGGTTGTTTACTTGTTTAGCGTCATTAGAATAATATAATAATCTTAATACTACGTAAATGAAAACAAAGTTCAATTCAAGTGTAACAATTGGGTGGGAGACAAATTGGAACATGGGCCATAGCTATAGTACAAAGTCAACCTACTTGAAACCAGGCTTCGCATTTCAAATTGTTCGCTCTTTATACTTAGTTTTTCCCACACCGGTAGAATGAGGAAAAACCCTCTTTACGAAGCTTTATAAATTAGATTCCGCTGCCTACCACAAGCATAGGCATTCAGCCGCTCTAAATTCGGTGGTGGCGTGTTAAATTTGGCTCACGCCTTGGCGACGCCTTTAGAAGCTTTTTACAACACTGATATTAATACTAAAAAGTTTTTTATTTTATTTTTTAGGCCCCTTTGGGATGTGAGGCCCAAGGCATTTGTCTGGCCCAACTCCCCCTATATCCGTCTCTGGGAGGGGGATTAAACCAAAACCTCTCTAGAGGCATACCTCCAAGAAATACAAAAAAGAACAGGGAAATTGGGGGGCTATACCTGACCTAATTAAAAATAAAAGCTTGAGAAAGAAACATTGGGGGGCTAGACCTGACCCAAAGAAAGTACAACCAAAGAAAAAATAGCTAGAATCTAAGAGAAGGAATACCCGAAAGAATATTTCAGATAGCACACGTGTGCCACGCACATGCATTTTAGTACACAAAGGACAAGTCTTTTACACACAGTACCCATCACTCAACTCTTCAGAATATCTCACCAATCAACTTTACACGTGTCATCACTCTATTAGACTAGATAATTTCTTCTGTTAACAAGGAGGAACACATGTCCTCACCACAATAAAATAACATCTTTTTAGTTATTGACCAGATATTATTCTCCTTAGTAAAAATATCACATTTCAACATGTGGAAGGGTCAAGGGGATATTTGTTGTAAGAACTTGCTTTTACTCTATCCAATTTTCTACTCGATCTTACTTAGCACTTTCAGCCTCACTATTTCCCCGGATTCCGCCTACCCCAGGCCGGAGATCCATCAATAAAATTATACTCCGTAAGATCAGATAAAGCGTGTGTTTTTTTTTTTGCAAGAAAACATCCAACCCAAAATTATTAATCAGTAAAACAACCCCTAGGTGATCACACGAGTTTATATAGGGAAAACATATTTATCTTTTTCGGTTAGTTCAAAATATGGATATAGCAATATAAAAAGATAAAAAGATGGCCTTTTTATTAATATTACTAAATTAATTACAAAAGAAAAAATGCGACTTGTTTATAAGTTTTTAGAAAATGTGACTTACTATATCATTTGTGCTCTTTTTTAATATTGATTTACTATAGTGATATTCTATTTTTATAAGTTTTTAGAAAATGTGAACAGACCTCGCATTGTATGTTTAGATAATACTCGAGAATATTACCCAAAACAGGACTAAAAAGGTTTGAAAATTTCAGAATATGACTGCCATGTTTTTATTCCCAAAATAAGACTAATTACTGTCATGTTTTGGTAGTACCAGATTTCAAACGCGGCAGTATTTTCCAAACTTGACATTAATTACTCCTATTTTGGGAATAAAAGCATGACAACCTTATTTTGGAATTTTCAAACTGTTTTAGTCCTATTTCGTGAACTTTACCATAATACTCCTATTTGGTTTGGTCTGATCACATAATTCGTAGTGATTTGATTTGATTTAGAGAAAGTTTCCGAAATTGGACTAAAACAGTGTGAAAGTTCCAAAATAGAACTGTCATGTTTTTTATTCCCAAAATAGGAGTAATTATGTCAAGTTTAGAAAATAATGTCATGTTTGAAGTCTGGTAGTAGACTGGTACTGCCTAAACATGGCAGTAATTAGTCATATTTTGGGAATAAAAATATGATAGTCCTGTTTTGGAATTTTTAATCCTATTTAGGGTAATATTCTCTTTGATTTATGATTGTAACTTCTAAGAGCATCTCCATTCATGCTCTCTAAATAAACAATTATTTTATTACACATCATTGTCACATCACATTTATTCAATAAATTGTAAATAATCTTAAAGCTTAAAACTCTTCATCAACAATAATACTTGAATAATCAGTTTTTTTCTGGACATGCATTAAATGTAATTTATCTACAATTTGAAATAATTCGGGATTAGAATCTTGATAACGAATTTTCTTTTTCAACAATCTCACTAAATAATCTCTCACTCACGATGATAATTTTTAAAATAATCTTACACATCATCCGGTTGATCTTCAAATAAACTCATGGATGGGGATGCTCTAAGTCATCTTCTTCTCACATAAAAGAGGCTTTATGTATTCCTAATGGAATAAGGACGTAAATAGTAGTAATAACTTACGAAATAAACTTTCTTTCTTCCAAAAAAAAAAAAAAAAAAAAAAAAAAAAAACTTACGAAAATACTAAAATAGAACTAAAACTCTGTTTGTACAAAAAAAAGTAACGGAAAATGGGTTATTGGACTTTAATGTCCCTGAACCCTAAGCTATCCTCCACATTTGATGCGCTCCAACTTTAGAAGCCAGCAGCTGCCTTCGATGGAGAAACGGAGCACACACACGCAGAGGCATCGATCTCCACCATTAATAGTGCAGCAGATCGTGGCCGCCTCTGCTTCCCTGGTCGTCGCCACCGCCTAATCTTCCATGGCCGACGCTAGGGCCTAAACTTTCTTGGCCGTCTCCACCCCCTCGCAATCACCTTCGCCCTCTTCATCGTCGTGGTCTTCGCCCTGGCTGCTTATTTTTCTTCTCTTTCTGTTCGGCGTCTCTCTGGCGAAGTTCCAGATCCGCGATGATGCTGCGGCGGCAGGGGAGTAGCGGGGCTGTGGTGGTGCGGGGATTCCGGTTACATGTTGGGGCTGAGGGAAGGGGGAAGGGGGAGGAAGCTGGGGTGATGAGACTGGGAGCTAGGGATTTGTGGTAGGGGAGCTGGGGATGGGGTTGGGGGCGGGAGATTTGGGGCTTGGGATGGGGGCTGGAGAGGAGGGTTGGGTGGGAGATTTGGGGCTCAGGATGGGGCTAGAGGCAGTAGTGGTGTCACTGGTGGCGAGACCACGGTACCTGTGGGAAGGAGTGGTGGCTACGGGATAGAGGCAGTGTCCAAGTCAATGTGGATTTAATGGGGTGTCACTGTAATTGGGTCACTATGGTGGTTGTGACATGTTGACAGTGGTGACTGGTGACGAGGTGTAGGTCTGGGGTTCGGGTTGGGGAGTGGGGGGTGAGGTCGGTGCCTGGTGGTGGTGGACGCCGGCCGGTGGTCGGCGGCGTAACTATGGATGGATTAATTGTGGCCGGAGTTGTTGTGAGCGATGTCACTGTGGAAGTATTACTATGGACGTGTCACTGTGGAACCGTAACTGTGACCGGCAACCATCACTGGTCGGTGGCGATCCCTAACCGGCGGCGGGTTGGTGTCACTGCGGCGGATGTCACTTTGGGGGTGTAACTGTGGCGGGTCATGTAACTATAAGACAAAGTAACTGCAAATTAGGGATAATTATGTAAGTTTAAAGCTTACTAGTTACATTTCTGGAAATTTTTAAAAATGGTCACTTTTTGGTCAATCATCCCATTTTTAGTACTATTTATGGCAAAACCCCCTTCCTAATTTGAGTAGAACTTTACAACCGGCATTGTATATTCTGGTTTCCAAAAAAAATCGTTATTCCAATTTTGGTTGGGTTAGTCTCTTTAGTATTCTTACGGAGTAATATAAATAGGTAGATTCTATCGTACGAATCAGAATGTAGCAGTTGAATTATTTCAATATAAATTAAAAATGATAAAGTGATGTGGTCCAATCAAACGAAAGGTACATCATAAATACTACTCATAAATATTAGTACATCATCAGAGATCACCCGCGACATTTGGTCAAGATTGAAGCCGAGGCATCTGTTTATAGCCCAGTGTGTGAGTAAAGAGTGGTATTCTTTCATAGAATCCACCAAGCTCTCCTATACCGGGCAACCACGCATTCACATCCTCTGGAACCGTTTAGTCAAGACAGAAGAAGGCACGGAGATGTTTAAATTCATATCGAAAAGCCCTGATCTTCTCACTCAATTCATATCTTTCTGTACTAAACGGCAGGTTGTTTAGGGTTTTGGGTTCATGCAATGGGTTGCTGCTGCTTGGGTTTGGAAAAGACATCGTGTTGTGCAACCCACATACAGGCTGGCATACCAAACTTCTTGAGCTTCTAAACCTCCAACGTCAGAGCCAACATGTGGTCGGAGGGTTGTGTTACAATCCATACACGTCAGATCACAAAGTTGTGTTATTGCTTTACCCGGGCATTCAATACCACAGTAGTCCGTTTGTCGTTGTTTCAAGCGTGAAAAATAAAGGTTGGCAAAAAGTGCCCTTCCTCTATTGCTATTACACTTCCCGCGCGGGAGTCAGCTTTAACAATACACTCCATTGGCTAGTAAGTGACAAAAAATTAGCCTTTCGTAATGGTCAAATGAAATGGGACCTTCTTGCTGACTGCAATAAGATAGTTTATTTCGATCTGGTTGATGACACATTGAAAATATTGCCCTCCCCTACACGGATCAATCCGGAAAAAGAAGATAGCATAGAAGGTACGGGAATCATAGAGGGATGTTTCTGCATGGCTCGGACGGACGAACAGAGGAAACTGATCCATGTATCAATTGTGAAAGAGTATGGAAAACAAGAGTCTTGGGTCACATACTTTGCCATCTCCTTATCCGAATTTGGACAATGTATGCTTTACAACCTCGATCTTTTCTCTCATAATGGGAAGGTACTGATGAAGGGTACCTATATTTGGAGCACATATGTGTATGATATCAAAGAAGAGAGGCTAGAACAGACGAAGTTTGTTGTACAAGATGGTGTTGAGTGTGATCGCATTGAGAGTATTTCCTTCTATGTTGAAAGTCTTGGCTTTCCTCGTGAAATGGGTTGGAGGGATGGTGATGAGCAAAAATGCATGATGGCCGAAGAAATTGGATCGGCGCACGATGAGGAAACATAGGAATCGAGGAATCTGGGTGAAGATGAAACAGTGAAGATATTGATCTAAGCATACAATGAAGATTGCTGTGAGCGTGGGATTGAGATGTAGGTTGAGCTTTGCAATGCTTCAGCATATATTTACGCACTTTTTCTTATGATAGGCTTTGTAATGCTTCAGAATATCTTTACACACTTTTTCTTATGGTTAAAAAATATTGGTACTTCAAGATATCAATATTCACTCTCAAGACCACAGCATTGATAACTAGCATATCTGGATTTTTATGGTACAGTTATACACTACGTATATTCAATTGGTGTTATTTAATGCTTTTGACCGTATCTTTATGAGTATCGTATCTTTTCCCATAAAATTAAATGATCTGGCATTCTGACTAATATTAATAAGCAATCTTGGGGTCAGTGGTAGAGGTTTAGACTTGAAAAGTGAGTTTTTTGGTTTTCTTGAATGTGGTTTAACCTGTTTCATTAGCTAGCTACTTTTCCTCTGCTAACCTCTGCTCTTCAAAAGACTTCATCCTCAAGCTGTAAAAAAAATGTGTGACCATCTTTAGCAATTTGATCGTCAAACTGTTTCAATTTATATTCCGTATAGGTAAACTGGAATGTGACAGTCTAAATTAGTAGGCTGAAGCATATCTTGTTTTTTAAGTAAAATATTGTGGATATATTGAAACACTGCCTCTACATATGTTCAGATCAGTATATGTTGGTTGCCAATTCATGTTTGAGAATTTATGAAGATCTATGGATTATTTCAACACATTTTTGGATACAGCTTGGTTTCGGTGATTGCAGATATTATCTCTGCCATGCTTATTCGTGCTACTGGTCAGAGTCTTCAGATGGCTTATGAAAAGAGCTTAAAATTATTAGGGCTGGCAAGATCTTAGAAGACTCTGGTAGCTACATATTTTATCCCTTTGTTCCAACCAAACAGTCTTCCGTTTTCCAATTTCAGTGTCATATTCTCTACTCAATTTGAGTATTCTCTTTTATTTTCAGGTATTCTACCTTCCGGAGACATAGCTTCACTGGTGTACTTATGGGACCCTTTCACCATAGTTACGTGCCTGGGTTTCAATACGACCCCTATAGACAATATGTTTGTAATCATTTCCCTTTACGGAGCTTGCAAGGGTGAGCAGTTTTCAATTCCCTTCTATGGAACACAAATGCTTATTTTTTGTGGTAGCTTTATTATCTTTTTCAGTGTGTCTTGTTTATGAGAAGCTGAAAGATAGTTGAAAACCGAAAGATAGCTTAAAGCTGATAAGTCATTCAGTATTGAGGAGTTGAAAGCTGAAAGCTGTAATTGATGTTAAAAATGTAGGCTAAAGGGTCAAATAGGCCCTCGAACCGACTTAAAAAGTGCAAATCACTCCTTATATAGGAGGCTCTGTCCGGCTGTCGCCATTTGGGGCGGTTCCCAGTGGAATTTTTTGATGAAATTTTTTGAGCATCTTTCTTCTTTAAGTCTAGTTTACCCATACCAAATTTCAGCTAAAAATTTAATCGGGAAGGCAGTCAAATAAATTTCTGAAGATAACTGCGCAGTTAAACAACACAGTAAATTTCAGAAAATCATTGGACTACCTTCACGGTTGAATATCTAAAATTGGGTATGAGTAAACAAGACTTAATGAAGAAGATGCTAAAAAAAATTCATCAAAAAATGCCACCGGAAAGAAGGCGGGAACAGCCCCAAATGGCGGCGGCCGGACAGAGACTCCAGTATAAGGGATGATTTGCACTTTTTAAGTTAGTTCAAGGGCCTATATGATCCTTTTGCCTAAAAATGTAAGATTATTAACTGTTGAGTATCATGAGTAGCTGATTTGCGTAAAATACACACAAGAAAAAGGCTATTACTGGAAACAAATAAGGCTATTAGAGGAAACAAGGGGAGCTTATTTTATTTTTGAAAAACTTTAAGAGACACATTCATGTTTTCTTCAAATAATTGTTCATGCAGTCTAAATAAAATTGTTTTAGACTTTTTTCATTATTCAAATTAGAGGAAATAATTGTTCATGATGTCACTTTAAGAGACAGATTCATGTTCATGCATGTTTTCTTCAAAAATCCTTCAAAAATAAGCTTTACCAAATATACACTAGCAGGAGAATAATGATATTCTTAGTATAAGAGGAGCCTATTAGTTTTAAAAGAGTAAAGAATCTAAAAATAGTATCGACTTATTAATCTCTTCTCATTGTCATAGGTCTTGCACCATTGGCAGCTTTTGGGTGGACCATAGCATCCCATTTCTCTCTTTATCCTTCAGTTCTAATTCTCCCAGTAAGATTTTCTTTCAAACATCATCAGTAGGTTTATAGTTCTTTTTTTTTCAATTAGCCATCATATGTTTGTGATCCCATTAGTTCATGATTCTCATGAGTCATGACTTCAGTGAATCATTTCATTTCTAGGTGATTCTTCTATTGGGTTGTAGTCCAGATGCACCCCCAAAAAAAGTTGTTCATGCAGTTTCATTTAGCAAAAGATGAAGATATCAGCTCAAGTGAAAGGAATACCAACCACTCAAGCTTAAGGGATCAGATAAAAGAAGTTGCCCTTTTTTCTTGGTGACCAGTTGTGGTTTTTGTTTCCTGGGCTTTCATCTGGACTGCTTATCTATTTGTTTTGTCTGGCATATTTATGAGAAATTTCGGTGGTCTTCAAGAGATGTTTAAAAGGTACATAGCTAGCTTTTCATATTTTTATACATAGCCATCAATTATTTTATCCATTGCATTTATCTAGATGCTTAATTAGATTTGTTCCCTAGTCTTGAACTCTTGATGATTCATCACCACTAATCACATGCAGGACCTACGGATTTATTCTAACTATGCAAGATTTATCTCCAAATATAGGTGTCTTATGGTTAGTATCTTAAAACTTTGATTATTAGTAAATCTCAAGAAGTGTGTCAATAAATAATTTTTTTCTTAATGACCTCTTTGTGCACCTTTGAAACAGGTATTTCTTTGCTGAAGTGTTTGATTTCTTCAGAAACTTTTTTCTGATAGTTTTTCATGTGAACATCCTCTTCATGATTGTGCCATTGGCAATACGGTTATACCACAGGCCATGTTTTCTGGCTTTTTTTTACACGACAATATGTGCTATGCTTAAATCTTATCCTTCATTAAGTTATTTGTTGTCTGAAACTACACAGTTCTCTCCAAATACTAGTATCTTGCAGACTTGCACAAATTAGATACTTGCTTGATATAGGGTCTGTTTGTAACACCTAAAATACCAGTGGAAAAAATAGGAATGAAAGCATAGAGGTAAAAGCGAAGGAAATAAAATATGGGGGAAATAAAAGAAAGGTTAAAACTCAACAGTCTATTTTGGGTACTTGTTTATATTATTTATTATTTTTATGTTGTATAAAGCCTAAAAATATATGCAAAAATTGAAAATGATCATATTTAAGTTTCATTATTTTCACAAGTGAAATCAAATATTAAAAATGTCGTCCTTTATGCTCCACCCGATGTCTTTTTCCGGTTCCAAACATATCCATAAGGATACTGGTTTACTAATTTACTTGTTATTAAGGGTGTGTTTGGTAGGGGTCACTTGGCTGAATTGGAAACCTCAATCCTCTGAAAGAAAAGCGTTCAGTAACATCCATTTCAACCAAATAAGCCATATAAGGCTACCAAATGGAGTCTTAGTCTGCTATATGCTTAACTTTAGACTTATTCTGTCTGACTTGTGAATGGTGATGGATAGGTCGGAGACTCTGCTCTATATCTGGGTTTGCTTGCTTTGTTTGTAAATGAATTATCAGGTAAGTGGCATTGGTCAATCTAGTGCACAGTAATATTTACAGAAATGGGATCGATTTGTTTTTTCACAATCTTCATATTATTATGCAGAAATGCCATTTTCTTTCTACCTATTCTGTGGATATGTGGGTGTCTCCCTTTTAAGCCCCGTAATGCATAACCTGTGGATATGGAGGATAAGTAGTATACTATTATGACTCCCTCCCTAAGGATACGTTTGGAACTCAGAAAAGAAACTGGCTGCAAAAAACATTAGTTCAAAATCAGTACATTTGTTTTTTATGCTTGTTCAAACTCATCCTATTTATTACTCCGTATTTATTTGTATATATTTCTATTGTATAAAGACTAAGATACTTAAAAACATGCAAAAAAGTTGAAAAACTTTAATCATCATATGTTGTTTTCCTTTACATTTAACTGCGCAGTTAAAAGCGCAGTTATCTTCAAGAATTAATTTGAATGCCTTCCCGATTGAAGTTTTAGATGAAATTTGGTAAGAGTAAAATAGACTTAATGAATAAGATGCTCAAAAACTTTCATCGAAAAATTCCACCGGGAAGCGCCCCAAATAGCGACAACCGGACAGAGCCTCCTATATAAAGACTTATTTGACCTTTTTATATAAGTTCGAGAACCTGTCTGACTCTTTTCCCTATAAAAAATAATGTCTGGAGTTAGGGTTGGCCGACATTCCCTCTGTTGTACGATTATGTTTGGCGCAGAGAATATATTCCTTGCGGTTGGACGGATCCAGATCTCAATTTGAACAGCCCACTTGTCCTAACCAAATTTCTGGTTCAAATATTGTAAACTTCAAGATCTATATTCTAATAAAGTTGGATGATGTTTCCCAATATGTGTGTGTAAAATAATGTTAGCACCATGGTCATATGTTTTTCACAAATATAATTTTATGATGTTAAGTACATAATTTATTAAAATACACAAAACATTTATAATGATATATATTTAGCAATGTCGCCAACGTCCTAACGGATTATATAACCAGATTGACGCACAATCTCTTCAGACGCTCATTTGCTTTCATGATTGGTTGAAGACCCGACATAGAACTCAAGAAGATTGCATCACCACCGACCGTCACTTCATAGAGGAAACAACAATTGACGCTGGCAGAGATTCCGAATGATTTTTAGAAAATGTATTTAAAATTTTAAAGTATTCTCAAATCTCAATTGTACTTCATATTTCAAATAAATATACATTTAGTTTTGGAGAAACAAAATTCAAATATCCCAAACTTTGAAGGAGTATGAGATAAGTACCCCAACGTTGCACATGTAATTAATATACCACAAACTTTATATATAAAAAATAATGTTAGTACTATGATCATATTTTTTCCAAGAATATAATTTTATGGTGTTAAATACAAAATTTAAAATACACAAAACATTTATAAGGATATATGCAATTAAAATTTAAATTGTACTGCACATAACATTATTTATTTCACAGATAAATTTTAGAATGTTAACTGCATTCTAACAAAGCTTAAGAGTATTTTAAATTATGTAATTATTCCAATAAATTTATATTTGTAAAAACATGCAATCATGGTGCAAAATTAACTTTTTATATAAATTTCGAGATGTATATTACATATGCAAGTTTAGGGTACATATCTCACACCCCATTAAAGTTTGGGACATTTAAATTACTTCGCCCTTTAATTTTTAACGTCTAGCATTTGTTGAATTAATTTAAAAAAAGATTACCAAAGGACGGGCCCGGCTCGGGACTAGACCAAGGCCCGACCTAGTGGTAGCTCGGACTGGAACCGTTACAAATCGGGCCGATACCAGGTCAAAGTTTTGCAGAAGAAAACCTATCATGACTAGGCCAAAGCCTAACTCGGCCCGAGTCCATGCCTAATTCTGGCTGAAGTAGCTGGAATATACTGATTTTGTTGTTTTATGAAAAATTATATTTAAGATATTATCTATTAATAAAATAAAATAAAAATTATATGAAAAATAGTTAAAATGATCATCCACAATAACTTCAACCAATGCAGCCAAAAAAATAAATTCAACCTTACTCATTTTGATTATTACACTATTCTACGCGCGAAAATAAAAAGTAACATGATTGTGAAAAGATTGACTCATGAGACTAATAAGCTTTTGTTTACACCAATGAGACTAATAGGCTAAAAAAACAAGATTACTATATGGACTATATGTTTGGACAAGGAAAATGATAATGAGGCAAAAAAAAAATACCAAGAAAAATAAATTTTTGGCTTTTAGTGTTTGATCTTGGCTCGGGAATATGAAGAAAATCAAGTTTGATGAGAACTTTTATTAAAATTACATACGTTTTATTTTGTAAAACTATATACCCCCATGGCCCCATAAGTATACATAGAATGTCTTTGAACAAATATCTAAATTGGGTAATATTGAATCTAAACTTTGTTATACCTAGATTTTATTTCCTTTCAAAGTTCATGTTTTCTTGCATTTTACAGGCTCCAAAGGAACCGCCTATAGGGTTAATTTATTTTCAACAGATTCAACGAGAACGTGTAAAAAAAAGAGTGAATTTTGGGGCAGCACCGCAGCACTAAGTGGGCATAGTGGTGGACTGGGCCCAATCCGGTTCCAGCCTAGGCCCGGCCGGGAAGGTATTGGGTAAGGCCCGGGACCAGACCGGGAGGCTACCGGTTCTGGTTTTTTTCTTATTTATTTCAACCCCTACCCCCACCCCCCCAAACCCCGGAATTACCCAGCCCAGACCCATCTAAACTCAGCCCAAAGCCAAAAAAGGAGGCCCGAACCGGGCCCAAACCGGCCGGGCCGGTTCGTGGTTTTGGTGTACCGGAACCGCCCCCATTACCCCCTCGGGCCGGGCTTAGGCCCGGAACCGGTTTCCCGGGCCGGGCTGGTCTTGCACAGTAGTGGGCCGGTCCAGTTCCCGGGCCAGTCAGACCGGACCAGGTCCATGACTAAGTGGGCAGTTGGTATGGATAGCATTTCTCTATCCGTTTTTTCTCTCTATCCGTATGATGCATGTAGTACATATATTAGTCAAAAAATACTAGCACGTTACCCTACATACTAAAATTGTCACCAATTTGTCCGTACCTAAATCATTATCGACACAACAAAAAATGCAAGATTTTAAAGGTAAAAGAGGTAGCAAAAAGAAAAGCCCGAACTCAAGGATTAGAAGCTTTAATTAACTTGGCAATTCTCCTGTCATGGTTGAGAGTTGAACTGATACTTTCAACAACCAAAATAACCTGCCAGGTAAACCAAAACAAAGAAGTTAAGTTTATGAGTAAATCAAACTCACAAGGATAAAAAAAAAATGCATGGGATGATTGTTCAATTACAAGGCGTTTCAATTAATTGGGACGCTATGAGTTTGGTACTTTTACTTTGGTATTTCTACTTTACGTCTTTGTGGCCTCCTAATAGGTGTTGATAGGAATGGGCCTATTATATTAAGATAATAATAAGTGGACCTATTAGTATGGAGAAGAAATGGGCTGGTACTATTAATAGTAAGGAAGGGGAAGGGAAAAGGTAGGCAGATTTTGATTTGGGAACTCAGGTTCTAGGAGAGTCGAGGCCTCTCGAAGTGCCCGAGTCTGCATTTCCTCTTCTTTCTAATGATAGGTATACAGATATCGTAACAAGTAAACTATCGATTTTATTACGGTGAAACGCAGAAAGAAGAGGAAATACAAACTCGGGCACTTCGAGAGGCCTCGACTCTCCTAGAACCCGAGTTCCCAAATCAAAATCTGTCTACCTTTTCCCTTCCCCTTCCTTACTATTAATAGTACCAGCCCATTTATTCTCCATACTAATAGGCCCACTTATTATTATCTTAATATAATAGGCCCATTCCTATCAATACTCCCCCCCTAAACAACCACCTTGCCCTCAAGGTGAGTGATAAGAGTCAGCCTTGATCGTCAAGTTGACCTTCATTCTTGCGCCCCTCCCTTTCCAGTACTGCTTTCTGTTCCACTAGCTTCCTGATTTGGACCTTCCACATCACTCCTTCCATAACCCGAAAGAGCATAGCAAGAGAGAGCAAAGGCAAGGACTGTTTTGCATCCTGTTGCACCATGTTGCAGAGGTTAGAATCTTCCAGCAACTGCATCTCTGGTCCATTTCCCAACCACCTCATGCCTAGATTTGCAACTACAATTGCTTGAAATTCATTTTGAACCACGTCTGGTTGAAGTCTTCTGATCACTGCATCCTCCGGATCATCTGCACCTCCTGGATTGATATAGCCAGTATCATAAGTTGCATAATAAACATAAGAATTTGTCAAATCTTCCGCATTTTGTACCTCCAGGATGTAGTCATTCTCTTTGAACATATACATCCACCATCTCAGGCCATGTGCAACTCCACAACACTCAGCGTTGCTGCCATCAGATTTCAGAGTATCTATTGGCCAATGCACCAAGTCTGGGACATTTTCTTCAACCTTGCTACCAAGAGAGAACTCTTCAGTTCGTCTCAGTCCAGAATTCGAGGAGTCCCGAATTGCAGAAAGTACCCCATTATAGCCTTCTATACCCAGAACCAAAAACTGGTCAACCTTCAAACCAGGCTTCATGGCCAGCTTCCTTAACCCTGCCTCATTAATACCATCAATGGTTGTGTCTGGCAGATATCTATCAGGATTATGTCTAGCTGAGTGTGGTACAGCAGCTGTTATGGGTTCATAAGGATATTTACACTTATGATACTCATCTTTCTCACCCCCTGGCAGTATCTGTACAGCATCCCCTAGCCACCTCCTTCGATGTTCTCCTTCCTTCCATTCCATAGTCAACTTCTGGAAGTCAAACTTCACGCTTCCCAGTTGTGCCAACCATTCCAGTCCCAGGATTAAGTTTGATCCTCCGAGATCCAAGACATAGAAGTCTTGATTAATAAGCACGTCTTGCACTTTAATTTGCAGCTTTTTGCATCTTCCATTGTTCCTTACAAGCTCTCCATTGCCTAATTCCACCTGGAATCCTCCTAACTGCTGGAAAGGCAATTGCATTTCTGTGACCAGTTTCTGAGAAACGAAATTGTGAGTTGACCCGCAGTCAATAAGGATATCCACCTGCCTTTCTCCCTGATTCCATTTCAAAAAACCCTCAACTTTGAAGGCCCTCATGGTAGGTATCCTCTCTTTGCTCATAAGAGATAATTGCATGGACTTTGATTCCAACACCACTTCTTTTTCTGGAATTTCAGGTTCTTCAGAATTTGTTTCATCTTCAGCATCTGAGTCTTCTACTAACATCAACTTATAGTGCCTCAGCTTGCAGGTATGCTCTTTATTCCACTTCTCTCCGCACTTAAAACACAGCCCCTTC